TTTAAAGATCTTACATACCTCAATTATTATCACTCCTGAAAACTTCGCCACCTCCTTGCAAGAAATATCGCGCTCTGTATCCAAAAATAACCTCATTCCTACCTAACCTACATATCTCCCATATGTGGCACGTTACCTGGATACAAATGATTTAGAAAATTATCAATCAGGAGCTAAAATTGTCTTTATCCTTAGAATACCTCTAATCGAGCCTGAAATATACACCCTGACATCTACTCTAAAATTGATGAAAGACTTGATCGACAAGGTAGAAATGAAACAGGTCTTGGTAGAGCGTTGCACTGGAAATGCGAGGGTCCAGGGTTCAAATCCTATTCGAGGCAAGAAAAATTTTCATCAATTTTAATTACTACGTGTGCATGCCACTAAAATTAAACACCCTAAAATGTATGTTTGTATATTATGTATTCGTGTCCAAAATATTACGAAGAGCATGACTTTGTCTTTTTTGCGGGGATTTTTTTTTCTTTTATGAAGCGATATAAAAGGTGGATACCTTACAGCGTTGCAAACAGGCTCGTCTGTTGGCAACGAAGCAACGAGCCTATCGAAGAGCGGAAAAAAATAGTTAATAAGTGAGCTGGAACTATTAGATGAAGTTTGGGCATTAAGCTATTTGACACACCTAATTCAAGGCCGACCAGTCAGGATTAGGTATAACAGACCACCACGCACGTCGGATCAAAGAAAGCAACATACGTTTGGCCAGATGGGCATTAAAACTGGCAGAGCTTGACTACACGGTGGAATGCAAAAGAGGCTCAAACCATAAAGATGCTGATTCCATGTTCCGAAATCTAGTTCTGCAAAATGACCCACATGAAAGTGAAGACCAAGGGGAACTGCCAACATTTGCGATAAGAACAGTAGAAATGAGACAATGTAGGAAAGACATCCAGATTTAAAAGAAACTCGGAAACCAGTAAAGAACCCGGACGATCCGGACATTAATATCGGAACAAGAAGAAGAGCAAACAGTTTCAGAATCGAAGATGACTTATTGTAAAAAGTGAATAACACGCATAAAGGCCTAGATAAGGTGCTGGTAGTGCCTCAAGTCAATGAGGAAAGAAATCCTATGGGAATTGCACGAATCACCAACCTGTGGTCATCCAATTCTCAGCAAAACGAGAGACAAAATACGGAACCTATTTTTCTGGGAAGTAATGTTGAAGGATATTGAATAGTACGTCAAAGGGTGTATAGATTGTCAAGCAGAGAAGGGACAGCCTTACAGGAAACCTCCTGGGCCCCTGCAACCAATAAAAGTGCATGCGTCATAGATAAAGTGGGAATAGATTTGCTGGTCCATTTAGAAGAAGTTCCAATGATAAAACAATGATAGTAGTCGCTACAGATTATGCGTGACGCTACGGAATCACGGCAGCACTGCCAAATGGGAAGGCATGTCCGGTGGCAAAATTTATTTTGGAAGAGATTATATTGTTAAATGGAGCCCCAAAAACACCATTGAGTGATAGAGGAAAGTTTATTCAGTCGGAGTTAGTAACAGACTTGGGCACATAAAGGGAGTACCAAACCAATACACTACTCCGTTTCACCCCTAGTGTGGCCTTACAGAGAGATTGAACAAAACAATGGCCGATATGCTGGCAGTTTACTGTAACACACATCAGACTGACTAGTGTAGTTACGTACCATTCGTCACCTTCGCTTATAACACAGCAATTCAAGCCAGCACATAGTTAAGCCCGTTTATGCTAACTTTTGCGAGGGAACCGACTCTACCGACCGAAGCAATGCGGATTGATGGTGAATCAGAGGGGGATATATTACACCTGAGGGAAAAAGCGCTGGCTATAAGGGCTATAGCAGCGGAAAATATACGCAAGAGGCAAGTAAAGGCTAAAGTACGATTCGACAGCAAGCATAGAGATTTTTGATATTGGTGATAAAATGAAAATTTTTGTGCCAGTAAGGAAAGTAAGCGGAAGCGAAAAATCGTTACTAAAATGGTTTGGGCCATACAAATTGTTAAGAAAATTGGGAGAAGTTGAATATTAAGTAGAAAAAGTGGCGGAAAACAGAAGGACACGGTCCATGTGAGTAGGATACTGCCCTACTACGACCCATGGACCGCGAATCCACCAATTTTTGAAGAGTCATTAGACGAATCGGAAATGGAAAGTAACGTTGACGAAAATAAAGGTCTAAATGATAAGTACGAAATCGAGTGTCATCGCAAACCACATCGAAAAAACTTGTATTTATGAGATAGAAAGAATAGCATTAATTAAACTTGGGCGTTGAACCTAGAACAGGTTGATAAATTAATACATCGGGAACAGGAAACAAATCAACTGTTTTTTTCTTGAAGAGGGAAAATAGTATAAAATAATAGTAGGAAATTAATATTAGGTAGGATAAAGCTGGCCAGCAGTTTAAGTAAATTAGGATACGTAGGATTTGTCGCATTTACTTGAGTACCTATGGAAAATATGTAGGTATAGGTAGGTATATTATAATGGTATAGTTAAAATTATTTTAAGAGCCGGTCTATTCATCTTCTAATAACCTGTCAGGTATGCAATCTGACGGATAAGTCCGCAATCTGTGATTCCATTGGCAGGCGAGTTATCCGCCGACCAATAGAATTATAGAACGGTAAATTTTTCTTGCAGTTAGTTACCAGCAAGTTAATCTCAAGATGAATAAACCGGGCCTTAGCAAACTAAGAATAAGGATCTATTACTGTATGTCACAGGGAATACAGAAATATAGGCAATTGTGAAAATAATGTAAAAGGGTTATGAATGAAACTCATAATACCTATGTTGGTGAGCGCATATTAGGGGCTTTCGACTCTAGACAATACCTAAGACAAAGAAGAATAAAATAGTGCCGTCCAGAACCCCGTAAAGAATGATGACATGGCCAGGCGGTACATACAGCTGACTGCCAGTCATCCCGGACATGGAAAAAAAAGCTCAACCTTGCGACCCTACAAATAATTTTTTTTGCACTACTTACTTCTCATGGTGACAAACGTGGAGCGATGGACAAATTTCATAGAATAGGCAAAAATTGTACTCACCAAATTATTACAGATATTGCAAAGCACTTCCAAGGCAGAGGCGTCCAACAGCACTAAGATCAACCATCGCTACGAAAGAATTTACGAGCCCTACAATAAGCAAAGCTCCCACAGCCAGTGAATAAGCAGCCAGCCGAGGACCTACTACTAGAGACATTACAAATCAAACTACTTGCCAACATACCTCAACATCGACCATTGCTAGATCATTGAACAAGACCAATCAGTAGCCTAGAAAGATACCTTGAATCCACTAAACAAGGAACCAATGCCAAAACAGACCAACCACTAGCCTAAGACAGAAGAGTTGCAACAGCAACAGAACGACCTAAGCTACCAAACGGACAGAAGGTGCAAACCTCAGGCACGGTATCTTACTTGAAACCGGGGAGAACTGGAAGCGCACAGGAAACCAACTACCACAGAAAGACGATCAAGAAAAACCGGAAAAGAAAGAAGAAGACGCTCAAAGAAGTAATTTTAAGTTTGTTTTGTAAACCAGATACATTTTCTCGGTCATTGTGGGGCAAATTCTTTCATCAGAGGGGCATGTGTCAACTTGAATTCAATACATTGGGCCACGAGCATAGGCGGTTCTAGCCCATCTGTGCTGGGGGGGGCTAAAGCCCCTGCTCCCAGGTCGCTCGCCGCCAGGCGCTGCTAGAGGGCTGCCACGCCCAAAAACCTTATATTTTAATAAATATTTAGTTAAAATTGTTTTTATTTATTTATGAAAAATACAAAAGTTTCATTCTACTTGATACACACACCTACAGGCAACAGAGGCAACCCTGTCCCTAGGCGTGGGGGCTAGAGTTGCCTCTGTTTTCAGACGTCCCGATTTCGGATATTTATGAAATAATTGAATAAAATTTTATGAAATAATTAGATAAAGGTATTAAATCAGTGAAATTAATGAAATTATGTAGTTAATTAATCCTAACATTTGAATATTTTTTATTCAGGGACTGCGAACTTTTGCCGCTCATCACTAATTTAAATTTGGGGGGGGGGGCTAATTCCAGATTTGGGTGGGCTTAGCCCCCCCAAGCCCCCACCTAGAACCGCCTATGGCCACGAGCTACAATCATCCCGATTTAAGTATATAGCATTTGTTGCTTATTCACACTGATTAACCTAGTTAGTCAGTGAATATTCAATATAAAAGTAGCTGCCGCACTATAGCAAACCAGACGTGTTTCGCTACTTTGCTGTATCAGTGGGTACAAGGCACGGCTCAAGTCTGGATTTACCTGATCGAATCGGGGGTTAGCTATAGCACCTTTTGTCCTATCGGATATCGCTAGACGCTCGACGTGTTCAGGCCTGGCATAGAGTACGGGCTCTCTAGCTAATATTGTAGAGCAGGGCTGGTACTTGCACGACTGTCTGGATCCCTGTTCTCAGCTACTCATTTACCCATTGGGAGGGAAAGCTAATAAACTGTAATAATTGTACTGGGGGGAGGAAGGATGTACTGGAAGAGAATCATCCCAATTTGTTAATTACTTTGATGTACCTTTTATCAATACACATATTTATTTAAATCTAGTGCCTACTCAAGTTTATCTATATGTAATTTGGAGGCTGTATCTTGTGGATATTTTTAATTTTTTGTGGGCGACTCGAGATAATACTCAGTTCATTTTTATTATTTTATCCCTTATTCATTATTCACAAAGCCGCCTATACAATACCGCCCAAGTAAATGTTCGTTTTTTTTTTGTTTAAATAAAGGACATCCTGATTTTAGACATATACTTGTTTAAACTGTCTACCTTGTACCTAGACCTTGAAACAACAATGGATGTAAAGGAACGTCGACAGCAGCAGCAAGAAAAGGAACTGAATACAATGAGAATAAAAAAAGTAAAAATTTGAAAAAGGAAAATCTGCTAAGCTCTATGCTATAAACTATTTTTACCTGAAACATCGTTTGCATCTGGTTGGCCATCTAACTTGAGGGTGGAATCCTAAGGGGCATAGGGGATCACCCCTAGCAAGAGGATATATATTATGCATCAGTTTCTTATTCCAAGCTACAACGCTAAAAAACAATTTTACAGTTATTATTTCAGCATGCGGCAATGCGTATGATACATTTTATTACAAAATTAAAGAAAAATAATGATAATAATAAAGATTTGTTGTATGGTATCCAGGTGTGAGACTCCGTGTCATATAGAATTCTACATGTTGACAGAATTCTATAGGTTCGGCAATATGTGCAGTCACAAAATCGACATGATGCGATTATTACGGTCTATATGGCGCACGCGTATAGGAATAAACTTGACATTGAATTTGTCATTTCACGACAAGACAAGAATCTTTCTAGGCTAGTTTAGGTTTGTCGTTTGGTCGTCGTTCATAATACCTGAGGTGCTTTTTTTCCTATCTTCTAAACTTTGTGTGAGTTGTCCTTTTATCGTCGTTGGAGTGTGTCAGCAGTGAGTTTTGAAGCCAGTTTACACTATTATTGTTTTATTCTTTAGTTTAGTTGTAATGATAAACTTTTTAAAAAGGCGAACCTCCAGTCGTGTTAATTGGCGCAGTCGGAACGGACTTTCGGGAATCAATATAAATCGATTATATTGATTTTTTCCATTTCAACTGCATTTACCGGAAAATGATCTAGTGTGACGTTGGCAGAGGTGTTGAAGCAGGTGGGGTTTCTGAATATCGAAAACTCTCAATCTATCGTAGATCTATGAATTATCATCGACCAACTGATCATCGAAAAGTAGAACCAACATTGTCTACTTTTGCAAACTTTAGCAAGGCTTGAGATTTGGAAATTTGGAGAGAACAACCATTGCCAAACCGAAACTTTGAGCTTATAGAAATGACTGGGATTGCCTACCTAATATTATTCCTCAGAGGTACGGTTACCGGAGACCCAAACAAAATCGCAAACAGAAAATTTGAAGACAACCCAGGCTTTTTACCAAGAATGGGGTAGTATACAAGTGATTTTTAACCACTACGTAGTGATATACTCGACGTATCGTACTATTTAGTGTAATCAGTTGCTTTGTAAAAACCGCAATAACCTGAAATTTTATTTTTTAAATTTTCTCTTAGCCCCGCCCCTACGTGAAAATAAAAGTTCGTGACGTAGTAAGTTTTTCCAATCTGGCAACACATCACGGTTTTGAGAACACATAATTTGCACTGACATTGGCCGTCAAGAACGAAACATCAAATTTACTACATTAAACAGCGTAAACAAGTCTGTGACAATGTCACATGTCACACGATTCAAACGACACCACAAATCGTTGGACTGTTGAAGTCAGCTGTCATTTTGAGGCATTTTGAGCAGCGTTGCCAGATGGTCAGCGGCTTGAATACTATTGGTCGCCGCTGTGGCGCTAAATTCAAATTACAGTTTGTTTGTCTCTGACTAATTCTATAGGCACTATGCTACAAAATAATTTAGTATCCCACTATACCATCACCATTTAGCCTATAGAAATTATAGCATAAAGTCGAGCAGTTTTTTTACTGATTTTTATACATAGTATACTACCCCATTAGGACAAGCAAAAATCACCCAATACACTTACACACTAATACACTACTTACGATTCGAAAATGTCACGAATTTGCTGATAATACGCAAAGAGTATTACACCGAGTCAATAAATGATTTAAAATTTTTACCATCAATACAGGAACCCGTAGGAAATAAAATTAAGAAAATGGAGCAAGAGATACGAACCTGTAGCAAGCATTGAGCATGACTAGGCGTAACACCCTTGTTACAATAGTTAATCATGCACTGGAGTATTAAGCTGTCCGAACACAGAGACAGATATTTTTCAAACGTTAGGGGCAATACTGCGGAGATACTGCGTGAAATAAGAGTTCAATGGACATATTGGCAGAAATTGTAGGCAACGCAGGAAGAAGGTAGGTCTGGAAATCAGGGAAACGCCATCTTGCCAGAGTAAGGGGGCGAACACTGGTGACCACTGAGTCCCAAGCTCCCAAATTATGGGCGTTATCCATCAAAAGGAACTATTTAAGTCTCGTTACGCGTGGCACCCTCAACGCCAAGAGATGTGATTTGACCATCTACGCACGCACAGGGGCATCAAGATCAGCGGTACGACCCGACAATGTTTTTGAGGACTTTGTGATGTTATTGGGTACTAGAAACAGTTGAAGCATATTTAATAAATGTTATTGAAAAGACCACAGTAACGTCGGGAATAGGCAGCACGTACCGAACTAGAGTTAGAAGTTATAATTGCTGGCATGGTAGATGAGAATATATTAGGTGCGCATATCCTAGAAACCTTTGATTTCCTATCCGTGAACTTTAGAAAGAGAATCCTGAGAGTGTACAAGTTGTGAATAATTTTGGAGAAATACAAAATTTATTCCAAAGCAATTTATCTGGAATTATTCATCAGATCAGCAGATACAAAAAATAATTTGAGCCATTTCCTTAAACGACTATTGGAAGCTTCTGAAAAGAATCGTTCTATCAATAAGCATGCCCGGACGTTAGATATTTCTCTAAAAAGATTCGCCCTATATTTTCCTAATAGCCAATAGGAGACCGGATGCTTTATGATACTCTCTACAGAAATATTGACAATGCATTACCTTCTATAACCACCATTCAAAGAATATTGACTGATGTTTCCAAAATTACTGAAGGATCACTAGGACTTAAATACTTATTTATCAAAAAGGAATTATTGCAAAAAGATATTCGTTTCGGAGGACCAGACGGCACTCATCAATGGAACTGAATATGATGCAAAAACTGACAGTATTGTTGGCTTCGTCGGTCCCATTGATAAGAATGGATTTCCAACATCTGGAAAGTTCATTGTTAATTCTGCCAGAGATGTACAAAAAGCATTTGAAAGTTATAACACCAGTGTTAATGCATGTATTCATGGCACAGCCATTGGTAAATCAAGCTCCTGCATTTCTGCTATCTGTTTAATGCTCAACGAACATTATTACTCGGTCTGTTATGATGAGTACTAATTAATTGGTAGAGTTATTAGTTTCGTGGATGAAAAGGCATATGTAATAAAATGTACCTATACGTTTCGAGGCCGATTCAGGTTTTTCCCACTCAGCTATTTCGGAAAAAATATATTTGCACCGGCTTCGAACCATTGGGTTATTTAGATAATTTGAATGTTAATTTTGAAAAGTACATATACCTTGAAAATGTCATAAAAAATGGAGGTCCACCACTGATTGGTAGCATATCAAAAAATCTTTTTAACAGACGAGTCTAGAAAACTCGTCACTTATAAGGTTTTTTTTTCATATAGCAAGACTCCCTTATTGGGTGACTAGTGCTTCTCCAATTTTCCAATCCATGATAAAACAAATGTTTGTCATCCGGGGTTGTTTCCTAGGACGACATTTTGGTGACAGGTAAAAATTACTTAGAACATTTGAGGCGTTCGGAAGATATTTTTTGAGGTTTAAAAGAATGCGGGTTGAAAGTTAAAAAAGACAAGTGTTTTTCGTTTCAGGATTCTGTCCAATATCTAGTACAAAAAATTGACAAAGGTAGTTAGCATACCTCAGATGAACGCATACATGTCATAAAAAAGCTCCTATTCAAAAAAAAAAAAATGTTACTGAATTGAAATCTTTTCTGGAAATGATAAATTTTTATTTAAAATTTTTTCCAAAGGCTTCAGCTGCCTTACAGCCACTGTATAGATTAGGTACCTACTTTAAAAAAAACGTTCAATGGACTGGACGAAAGAGTGTAATAATAGTTTTGAAAATGCTAAAAATATTTCACTGTCTTCATCAGTTTTAGCCCATTTCGATCTTGATGGAATGATTAAATTAACAGTGGATGCCATAAGAGGTTCGTTTTGGTTACAGATCTTAGACCTCTTTTATCTAGTCTTGTAGATGGAAAAGGTATACCGGTTTGTGCAGCAAATCGATTGCTCTACATGGTAAGGTGATCATTGCAACAATTGAGCGAACCACAAAGCGACCTTGGGGACGCCTGGGACGGAATGCCATAAAACATTCTATCTTCATAAGAGGAAATATTTTGTTTCACAACTAATTCACACGGTACGACCCATTTTCGGAAAAATAAAAGGCTGCCTTTATAATTTACGACGTGTGTCGAATGGGTTTACTTTATATCAAATCAATATTAGGTCATTCGAAATACATTTCACTGCTCGGAACATGAGCGCTCATGCAAACGAACAGACACATCAACCAGCTCCAGCTCTTATGTTAAAGACTCAACTCATTTCATCAAAAAGATCAGTGACATCACTCTACTACTAAATGACATTCTGGTTAGTTTTGATGTCGTCTCATTGTTTACCAAGGTAGAAGTGAATCTGGCCTTAGAGTATCTGAAAGATGTTTTTCCGTAGAAAATCAACAACATATTTCACCACTGTCTGACGACTACGTAACGTACTTTCAATGGCAAAATGAATTCTTTGAGCAGACAGATGGAGTCGCAATGGGGAGTCCACTAAGCCCGGTTATCGCCAACTTCTACATGGAACACTTCGAACAAATGGCACTGCGAACGGCCACAAAGAAACCTACTTGTTGGTTTCGCTATGTAGATGACACATTTGTTGTTTGGAACCATGGAGAGGCAGAGCTCGAAAACTTCCTTAATCATCTAAACTCAATAGAACCCAAGATACAGTTTACGATGGAAGTTGAGAAGGACAACAAAATTGCATTCCTCGACGTCCTCTTAGAAAGATTACCCTCAGGTAAACTGGGACGCAGAGTATATAGGAAGCCGACGCATACGGAGAGATACCTCAACAAGGAATCCAATCACCAACCTAGGCAAAAGAGAGGAGTCATTAAAACTCTATTTGACAGGGCAATCCGGATTTGTGAACCCAAATACCTCCAGGACGAGATGCAACACCTAAAATCAGCACTTGAAGGAAATGGGTACTCCAAGCAGGAGATAAATAGAGCCATAAGACCGAAGCAACAGCGCACAAATAACAAGGAATCAGCGCAGGTGGCAGGGAGAGCCTTTCTTCCCTATATCAAAAACGTCACAGATCGCATAGGTCGAACGCTAGAAAGACACAACGTTAAGCCTATCTACAAGCCCACAAGAACAATTCAGCAAAGTCTAAGATCGGCCAAGGATCCTGGGGCGCCTCTTGAAACGGCCGGCGTCTATAGAATTCCCCGCTCTTGTGGATCTGTCTATGTAGGAAAAACCAAACGCTCTATCAACACCAGGGTCAAAGAGCACAAAAGAAACTGTCAGCAGGGACAAATAGATAGATCAGCAATCGCCGAACACGTGCTTACATAAACAAACCTTGTCATTCGTTCCGACCAGACTCAAGCATTGGATAGAACCAAACATTTTTACTCCAGACTCCACAGAGAAGCCATAGAGATACAGAAACACCACAACAATTTTAACAGAAAAGAAGAGGGCATGAACTACAACAAAAGCTGGTTGCCAGTTCTCCGAAAAACAAAGACCCTTCCTTTCCGAGAACGAGGCAAGGAAAATAGTGTAATACAAGCCACGCCCACAACCCTGGATATAAATAACGCAGGTCCAACAACGTCCAATCCAGTTATCGGAGGAACACGTAAGAGAACACTTCGTCCTCTACCACACCGCCTCTGAAGATGTCTACCGCAGAAGTAGAAGAAACGTTAGGTAGAAATACTACTGGACCACGGCACAGCCTCCTATACTTAACAAGCCATGAAGTTGGAAATGACGGCAACGTCGCGTATGGTGCTATTTTGTTATTGGGTTATGTGTTTCTGTGTATTGCTTTCATTGTGTATTGTTGCAATTTAGTATTTTTATGGGCATTATTGACGAAAAAGTGGATAGAAACACACCGATATATTGCCCATATTTAGTTGATACCTGTTCCTTTGTGCTTTGATTGCAAATTTTTAGCAAATGGGTACAGGAGCAAAAATGAAGGTAAGGTAACGTAAAACAATAAAAACAATATTAATATTTGTCTGCAAGAGCATAGGTCTCGATATATTACCTAAGATATTTAAACTTGTTCCAGATGCCATGAAACTACTGTGTTCCTGGGTGCAAATCGAACTATTAGGAGTTCCTTAAAAACTGAAGAAATGCAAACATTTTTATTTCCAAAAAAATTCTGAATTGCAAAAAATGTGGATGAAAGCAATACACCAAGATAATTATACCCAAGATTATACAATAACGAAAAATTCTGTGGTGTGTTGTAAACATTTTGAAGAAACCGAAATAATTAGATTTGAAACAAACAAGGATAAAGGCGTAGTTCGAGAGTTCAAACTAAAACGTCCAACTCTTAAAAGTAGGTACCTCTTATTTTCGAAAATCAGCTCGAGTATTTGAATGGACTTGCCTTCCGAAAAAATCCCGAAGAAAGAAAAAGTTAGATTTTCAAAAGACATACTGAAACATAGGCCTATAACACTTTAGACTCTAGAAATATATTCATTTAAATCAATTATTTACTGTTCTTATTTATACAAATAGTTAAATTATTCATTGAATTACTGTTTTTGGCCCTTTAGTACAATAAATTATGCATTTTTTGTGATTCATATTAATAAAATAAAAAATATATATTTATACAAACAAACACCACCAGCACCACTTGGCGGTAAGATTGCGGTGTTGCCTTTTTAACTTCATGGCTTGTTAAATGTAGGAGGCTGTGACCACGGCATTATAGCCCGGAAAAAACTTTTTTACTAGACACATCAACGTTATCAACTTGATTTTCGTTACTTATTTATGCAATAATTTAATCCATAATATCGAAAAAAAAAAAAGACAATATGCGAGCTCGTTCCCGAACTTTGTACTTAAAGCTGCCATCTAGCAAGAAAAAAAAACAAAATCAATTACAACAACATAGCGCAGATTGATGCTGCTGCCTCTAGCGGGCAAAATACGAACACATTACCCCACACATAATAATCATTTCAGGTATCGGGACTTCAAAAAAAACCAGTTAAAGATTGCTTTGATTACAAAAACGTACGTCGCATTATTGTTTCTTTAGTGGTCGCAATTTTTGACATGACATTTTGACATTAAAGTTCAAAGAAAAATATTGCAAGACATACGTTTAAAAAACCATAGCAATCTTTGATTGTTTTTTTTTTTTGAAGACCTGTTAGGTACACACTGGATCACTGATGTGTCAAGTGTTGACGACAATAAAGTTCAAACTATATTCCTCTGGCCGCTTGAAGAGAAATTTATATATTTTTTCTACAACATGCATATTATTATATAAGGTGATATTTTGCGATTTTTTTGACAATGCAAAATGACTTTTTTTGATTGCCAACCGACAAAAACTTTGTCGATTGCTGTCATGGAAGACATGCGACAAAGTAAACTTTGCCGATCGATTGCAGGTAGAGGTAGGAATGCACTTGAATAGCTGAGAGAATAACCAAGTTTCTCCGATTTTACTGGCATTTAATTTGTCTCTATTACATTGTTTTTGATTTAAATGGAAAATCATTCAATGTTGTAGGAAAAACATTGTGTGTAGTACCTACCTACGATTTCGAGTGATTGCCGCGCTTCGCTAACGCGTCGCACTTTCTCTCTTAATCGACAATCGCTTATTTTACGCTCTTAATGCACAAATATAACTATTGTGTCATATTCATATTCATATTAGATTACTATCACCTATGGCTATCATTCTTAAATGTCAATCCTTATATAAAATGTTTCTACGTTCTAGACCAAATAAACACACAAGCACCCAATATATTTTTTTTTACCTGTTGTGTACAAAATTATATTAGGTACCTGTCGATGGTAAAACGCGTCGCACTTTATCTCTCAATCGACACAATCGGTTATTTTGAGCTCTTAATACACAAAATATAACTATGGTTTCGTACTCAATTAGATTACTACCACCTGTAAACTTTGCTACCACCTATGGCTCCTATCATTCTTAAATTGCTCTAAGTTACAATGTCATTCCTTATAGTAAATAAAGTAAATATTTTTACCCTCTAGACCAATTAAACACACAAGCACCCAATATAACTATTGTGTACAAACTTATATTAGGGTGGGATTATGTTGGAGCTGCGATAAACGATAAAAGCAACGATACTAATGTAAAGTATCATTAGTATCGTTGCTTTTATCGTTTATCATAGCTCCAACATAAACATGGCCTTAGGTAGGTAGGTACATGTCGATGGTAAAACATCCAATAATGTTGGCAAAATAGAAAAGGTCTAGTGAAAAATTTTAAAAATACCTATTTCTGTAAATAGAACCTCTATTTTAACTAGGAAACCATATTATGTAGGTACCTATGTAGGAAATCAGCTTAGATTGACAAATTTAACGATTTTTTCCTTTTTAGTAGATATTGAACACAATCGTATTAATTAGTTTTTTCTCGACAACGTAGCCTTTACGTTTACATATAGGTAAGTACGCTCCATTACCACGAGCTCTGTGATTCTATATATAGCACGAGGCCTATTGAAATATTTAGGTTTTAAAGTTTCATGGACCAATCGACAATAATTCTAAAAAAACTTACTGTGTATTTGTTAACTTTTCTTCTAGAATGAAACAGGAAACACTTGGGTAACACTCTCAAATGAAGCACTTAATTTAGCGATCAGGCTCGTGGAATTTCGAATATACGCATATTTCAGAATAGTTCGTTGAGCATTGCATAATACAGCACTGAAGCTAATAAATATAATTTTCATCAAATCTCTGGTAGAAACCACTCAATAAACATATACACACGTTGATAGGAAAAAAAATATAAAGGCACTGGGAGTCGGCGATCGAGTAATTTTGAGACGTCAATTTTAGCGTCAGGTTAGATTTAGCAGCAACGCCAGTTTCGTGGCTTATCTAAAAACGGGAACTTTGCCAAAAAGATTGTTGGGCGAATCCGAGCTTTTAAGCAACACATATTATTTTCGCCCATTCGATTTTTATGACTTAATAAAATCAGAATTATATACAGTGTGGCTTAAAGTTAAATATACTTTCCTATAAATAATCAATATAATATAACGAGTGCAATGGAAATTATAAATTTATCTCCATTGCACAAGCTGTATTTTATGAGAGAATTTCAGGAATCAAAAATTTTAATTTTTTGTCAAAACACCAGTTGTGTGCAATTATCACTGATCGGTCAAAATCAACAAATTAAACATGTCAGTTTATTGTTGGTATGTCAGTTTTGACAGATGTATGAAATTCTCGGAAAAATAGAACATAATAGTTGCAACTTGCAAAGTACTTTTATGTGACAGAACTTTACTTTTCGCAGCGTTGAAGTAGAGAAGGTTAGAGTCATGATTTAATGGCAAACAAGTTGTTGGACATGGTTCTATGGAGAGCTACACTACAATATCCGGGTCGCTCCAAGTGAAACTATTAGGTCTGTTTCTGCAGAAATCACAAACCAGTCAGAGTGAATTTAATTGGTTGAAACTAGTTTTCTGACTGTTTTCAACCAATGAAATTCGCTCTGACTGTTTTGTGACTTCTGCAGAAACAGACCTATATTACCTATCATCAGCAAAAGACAGATTTTACCGTTGATGTCTAGACTAGCAATGTCGTTGATAAATAGCAAAAATAATATTCGACCGAACACGGAACCCTGTGGATTTCCACATTCTATTGCCTTGCCTGAAGACATCGTCGTATTTACCCTCACAAGCTGCTGTTTTCTGTTGTTAAGATACGATTTGAACGATTTGAACCATTCCGCGCCGCCCCTAAGAGCCTCAAAAACTACTAATTTTTTTTTTTTTAATCATAGAAAAATTTTAGAATTTTCAAATAAAAGTTCATGGAAAAATTTTCCAATAAAATGCTATAGGAAAATTGTTCAATTTATCGTTTTGTTTTTATCAGATAAATGTCCTATATTTTTATTTGAAATAGGTATTTTTATTTGTTATTTTCGGTTTTTTGATATGTGCAGGGTTGTCCAATTTGGACACTTTTGATAGAAAACGTTAATTTCTGAGCGAGATACAAAGAAATCAACCTCCACTCTGAGGCTCAAATTTTATGATATTGTGAACCGTTTTGTGACTAGCGAATCCAGTGACTTTCTCAGTTTTTTTTTTATTTATTCCCGAATTCGAGATATTAACCAGAGTCCGATTGTTTTGATGGGACACTGACACTGGACACCCTATATATTAATTACCGATTGAATAGCTCTGCTTTTGCTGCTTTCAATGATATAAAGTTCGATAGGTTTACCTTTTTTGTTCGAGTTTTCCCGAGGGGTTGATCACTCCCCGAAATCGTGTCACAAATTCGTCCGAAATCCCCGAAATCTTTCCGAAATCCTACCGAAATCCCCGAAATCCTTCCGAAATCCACGAAATCACTCCGAAATCCGCCGAAATCTCTCAGAAATCATTCCGCATACCTAAAAATCCCTCGCAATTGGCCCAAAATTCGTTTTCGGCCGATTTTCAGTTTATACTATACTATACAGGGTGTCCCAAGAAGATACCGACAAACTTTAAGGGGTAGTAGGGGACATCAAAACAAGCATTTTTGTTTATATAAACATATGTCTGCAAATGAGCCATTTGGGCTGTAGAGCAAAAAACTGTTTGGTATCTAGTTTTATTCTTCGCAATAATTAAATCACTGTTTACTTATTAATTTTGCTTTAATAGCAAATAAATTATGGTTTACAATAATTGTTCAACTCCCGAACTCTTTGGAATGTTCCGGGAATAGCTTCTATATGGGTATAACTCGCCAGTATCCTTGCTATCAGATCTTCCTCATTACGAACAGGTGTTTCGTAGAACTTTTGAGTCAATGACCCGACGGTGTAATCTTTGCATTTGCATTGAAGTAAATGGTCAACATTTTGAACAATTATTGTAAACCATAAATTATTTGATAATAAAGCAAAATTAATAAGTAAACAGTTATTTAATTATTGCGAAGAATAAAAGTATCGAACAGTTTTTTTGCTCTACAGCCCAAATGGCTCATTTGCGGACATATGTTTATATTAGCAAAAATGCTTGTTTTGATGTCCCCTACTACCCCTTAAAGTTTGTCGGTATCTTTTTGGGACACTCTGTATACACTTTCAAATATAGTACCTAGGTACTTATGAGATAAGTAACAGTCTAAAATCAATTTGAAATATTTGTGAAATCACCTGAGATTCTCCGAAATCATCCTTTGAAATCACCCGAAATCCTTCGAAATCAACCGAAACCCCTCAAAATCGCTCTAAATCCGAAATCTTGTTACAGTGAATAATCCCTCGAAATCTTTCCTAACTTTGGTATGCAGCCATTTCGGCAGGGTAAATAGTAGCAACTTAAAACTTCGGGGATATAATCTTAATGAAAATAGCTACCAAATGACATATCACTCGAATCCTTTTTTCATTTGAAATTTTGGGGGTACCTGTTACCCCAACTTAGGGGTTGACACGTAGGGGGTGAAAATACCAATAAAATGTGTCCCCCAAAAAACAAAAATTGACTGAGCGATTTTTGATTAAACACCTAACACTTGAAAAACTATGGGTGGGAAGTTTTTCGTGCCCCACCCTGTATAGGTTTTTTTAATGAAAAAATAAGACAGATATAAAAAGTACGTCATTAAATTCTGCTTGGAAAAGTACCTCCAGAAAGTTTATACAGAAATCAATTATTTTCATAAATAAAAAAGTTAGGGAGGTTTCATCTTATTGCTCAAAATCGAGAAACACCCTTTAGCGGCAAAACGGTTGAGGGTATCAAAAGGCGGTTTGCAGTGTTTGCACCAATCAAGATAATATTAAATTTGAGCCTCAGCAGACTGGAGAGTTCATTTTTATGTATCTGGCTCAAAAATTGACGTTTCAGATCAAAAGTTTCTAAATTGGACCACCCTGTACCTACATTCTTTAACGTGGAAGTGAAGTAAAAATAAATTTTCAAAAAATCATTGTTGATAATTTTTAGCCTGCGCCCCCCCCTGAAGAAAATCCTGGATCCGCCACTGGTGTAGAGTGTAGATTATTCAAGCTAGAAAACACAATAATGAATAGAGCATAGCATCAAAAGTGCATCTGTTGATGGTTAAAAATTCAAATTGGTGAATAGTTAGTAGATATGTTATATTTATGCAGAAATGATAGAAGCCTTTTTTTAGCCAATCTTTCAATGATTTTTGGATAAAGTGAGAAGAAGTGCAATTGGGCTGGACGATAGTTCGAAGCTTGATCCTCATTTGTGCAGAGGAATAATTATAACCGTCTTGAGGCAGTCTGGAAACACTCCTCGTTGAAAATATTTATTTATTAAAGCATTTAGGATATATAATGTATATAACTACATTCCGGTTAATTAAAAAACATTTTTAAAGTGAGTCCATGGGTCCTAGATGACGATTTGTATTTGATGTCTTTAATTGTGCTGCAAAGCTCTGATGTTTCTGCGGGTGTTAGGAAGATACTGTGTGAATTCATATATTGATATTAGGAAGATATGAAAGCGGATCGCGAGAAGGTAGAGGTTATACTGGACGAGAAAGCCCTATTTCTCAAATCGTTGACAATAGACCACTTAGGCAATATTTTCGGTTCTGGCGAACCGATTGTTATCATAGGTGTCTTTGGCGACTTTTATAGGGTCCATGTGGGGACACTTTAATTCTTCTATATAATTTCAAATTTTTTTTCCATGGAATGGATGTGTATGGACACCTCTCAGTATTTTTTTTCATTTACTGGGACACTTAAAAGAAACACCTGTAATGTATAATGGCATAGGCGTCTGCTTCCGCAGACGCGTCGTTTTAAGGACTATAAATTTTGTCTGCAAATACAGACGCGTCCTTGCCGTCCTTAGACACCTGTCTGCAATTACAGACACGCCCGTCAATGTAATTTTGAAAGACGGGATTGTCCGAATTTTTTTTTAGGTGTGACAATGAGCGATTGCTTGACAATAGGTGCATGGATTTTTGTTTAAAATTTTTCCTATTATTACTCCGCAAATATAAAAAAGAATATCATTTGGAAGTGGAGAGAGAGATGTGTATTTAGGGTTTCATCGAGACGAGAAATCTCGTTTCGAAGGCAATTTCTCGTCTCGTCTCGATCATCGAGACGAGAAATCAACAAAATCTCGTCTCGATGTTTTTCTCGAAGACAATTTCTCGATCTCGATTCGAGATTCTCGAAATTTCGAGAGTCTCGAAAACAAAAACTGAATGTTATTAATATTAAAATATATTATATGTATATCCTATTCACAATCCGATGTCTACAGGTACAGGTAAATTTATCAATTTTTTCCTATCAAATAGCATTGAAAGGTGATAAATTTTACCTGTACCTGTGGACATCGGATTGTGAATGGATAATATATAACATAAGTCTGCACTGAAAGAAAGGCGAAAATGTTTTCTGTTAAGAAAATTACGTTAAAATACAGAGCTATACAAAAAAAAAACACCGAATATTGGCCCATAAATAAATAGTATAATATTCAACGAGCGGGTAATGATGGCTATTACTCACGAAGGATGAAGTTTGCACTACGAGCCGCAGGCGAGTAGTGTAATCATCCGAGGCCATATATCCGAATTTATCAAAGATGGCTCGTGATTTTTTGAGTATTCAAGCTACTTCAGTCCTGCAGAAAGACTGTTTTCAAGAGCAACACTGACCATTAGAAAAGAACGAAGGCGATTAACTGGAAAATCGGCTCAATTTTTAATGTGTTTGAATTCTTGGCTATGTAACAAAGAAATATTTACGGGTGTATAAACAATAACTTCGTGATCAGTTAAGAAACTTTATTTTATATTGGAAC